CAGATACAGATACAGATACAGATACAGATACAGATACAGATACAGATACACATATACAGATACAGATACATCAAAAGCTTTTACATATTTATAAGTTTTCAATTGAAAAACAAACGCAATTACTACAATTTTTGTATATTTTTCCTCCCTATTTTGGGGTCAGAATATAAATCACTTAAGCAGATGGCAGGCAGAGGGGAACAGATACAGAGTTTTACAAAGGGATAAACGCCGAGCTGCGCCCCAATCCAATTGTTGACAAAGGGAATGCTAAACGCAATGGCAGTGCGGGCAGAGCTTAGCAAATAATAAAGAATAATAAAATGGGGAAAAAAAAGAAATGTAAAAAAAAGCACAGACACTTTTTCTACGGCTATTATTATTACTTGGTCCACTCTCTCTCTCCCCCTCTCTCGCCCCCTCTCTCTCTCCCTCTGTTAAATAAATTTTGCCTAAATGCAAATTTTTGGTTGAGAAATGACTCGACTTGAAGAACAAACCAAATTTTATTCGACTGGCTATTTATATTGTGTGTGTGTGTGTGTGTGTGTGTTCGTATTCATTACAGCTCGTATTATACGCGTCGCAAATTTCGGCCCATCTATGCAAAGGTGATGAACAGCTATGCAAATGCCTGCCGCAAGTCCTCGACATATCAATATCAGCGCTATGCGGGGGCCAATTCGCTGAGCCTCGTCACAGGACTGCTGCCATTTACCACCGAGATGGCACTCTTCGAGTTTCCATTCAACGAGCTGCTGGTGCGTATACGTAATTTCTAAACAATTGCCCCTGTTGGACTCCATTATGCCTCAATTTATTTCGCATTCCCTCGCTATCTCTCTGCCCTTCCCTATCTAGATTTGGGCCGTGCTCACGAAGCGTCAGCAAATGGCTTTGCTTATGTGGACCCACGGCGAGGAGGCGCTGGCCAAGTCGCTGGTCGCCTGCAAACTGTACAAGGCCATGGCTCATGAGGCAGCCGAGGATGATTTGGATACGGAAATCTACGAGGAGCTGCGCTCCTATGCCAAAGAGTTTGAGAGCAAAGGTATGTCATGGTTGACGGTGGTCAAACGCTTGAGTTAATTAACTCTCTCTCTCTCTCAACCGCAATGCGTGAGTCGCGAGTGTGAGCGACAGCCAATCGCGCAGCGCCTCTAATTAACGCACCTGACCTGTGCGGTCAACTAATTGACATTTGCTATATTTGTGATTCTCTGTACTGTTAGGCAACAAACTGTTGGACTTTAGCTATCGCCAGGATGCGGAGAAGGCGCAGCGATTGCTCACATGCGAGCTGCACTCGTGGTCCAATCAGAGCTGCCTCTCGCTCGCCGTCGCTGCCAATCATCGCGCTCTGCTCGCCCATCCCTGCAGCCAGGTGATTCTGGCGGATCTCTGGATGGGCGGATTGCGTACGCGAAAGAATACAAATTTCAAGGTGAGGTGTATGAAATATAGAGTTTAATGATATTCATTTTATTAAATTTTAAATTTAAAAATATGATTATGTTTTTTATTATAAATTAAATTTATTTTCTTTTGCAACCAGGTCATTCTAGGCTTGATCATGCCCTTCTACATCAGGCAATTGGACTTCAAGTCCAAGGAGGAGTTGCAGCAAATGCCACAGACCGAGGAGGAGCATCTGGAGAATCAGAATTTGGACAATGATGATTCCGATCGTTCGCAACCAGACGCTGAGGTGAGTTGAACACTAGCCAGGCTTTACTGTCTGCTCTGAACTGATGCTGCTATCCTTTAAATATAAATTTAATATTTATGATATAATATAATTTACTTAACCAGTGTTTCGTTCAAATTTTGTTTTCGTTTTTTGGTTATTTTGTTCGTATTATTGTTTTTTTTTTTTTTTTGTGCGTGCCAGCTCTTTGAAATATATTTATTCAATTTTCAGCTAAGCTATATACTGAATACCTAATAATCTATATTAACATATACATATATATATTTATCACATATATATATATATAAATATAATTATATACCTTAACTATATTGTATATCGTGCTATCATATACCCTACCAAATGCCATCTACCCGCTCTATTTGTTTTAGAATGCCCTTTTAAAAGCCAAAAGATCCATTTCCTTGAGATATAGGATGGGCGCGGGCAGTAATAATCGCGACAAGGTAGTAAAAATCAACGGATACAAAATCCAAAGAAATAAATCAAATACATTAAAAATACCAACAACATTATTTCAAGCATTTCCTGTTCCTAGACTCTGTGTCTATTTATCTATACCTACTATATATATATTGTATATGTTTCTGAACGTATTTGTTATTTTATGTATTTGCTGTCGAACTGTCTGTCGGTCTGTCTTACTCCAACTCTGTGTCTCTCTTTTTCTCTCTCTCTCTCGCTCTCTCTCTCTCTCTCTGTCTATGTTTCTCTTTGTGTATTGTGTATTCTTTGTATTCTGTCTATATTAACTGTATACTCATACATTACCTAAATTTATGGCATCTAATTTGTAACGCATTATGTGTTTAGTTGATTTTTATTGATTTCTTCGCCCAGCCAAACTGAAGCCAACAACTGGTGGGCTATTTTTAGTCAAGCCTTGTAAATCGCTCGCCCTTAGCTGTTAGGCAACGTGTCGCAAAGCTGTTTTGAAGTTTTAGTCCCTAAAGGTTACTTAATACAGCAATATAACTGTTTTGGGCTGGTGCTATCTAGCCTTTAATTACGATAATGTAATTGCAAGGGGGAAGTGTGTGATTAACTATAAATACAAGGTTTATTATCAATCGAAGTGTATTGTAGTATAACAGTTACAGTTGAACTATATTGCAGTATAATTGTAGTATAACAATAAGTGTAAAAGGAATGAGGAAAAATAAAATAATTGTATAACAGTATTGATATTAAACTGTATAACAGTGTAGATGTATAACAGTATAACAGTCAAATAGCACTTTGCCATCATAGAAATCAATTCGTATACCTAATCTATGCAGTCTACGTCCTCTCTCGCTCTCTCTCTCTCTCTCTTTCTATTTATCTCTTTCTCTCTATTTTTAATACACTAATTAACGTAAAAAGTGCAAATTAATCACAGTTGAAAAGCATTCGCCATCATTTCATAGTCCTGCCAACTCAACAGATGTAAGTTCTTCAATAGAGCCACGCTCACCTAGACACCCACGCCCCTTCCGCATATCAACAATATATGTAGACACAATAAACTCTCTCAATATATATGTATATATAAATGCTTTGCTTTGTTCCCTATGGCCGCTGGGGTATATCCTTATTAAGTGCGAATTAACATTAAGCAGTCCTAACAGAATGCTTCGCAGCCGATGTCCCATGGCTTAAGGCTTAATCTAAAGTTCAATTAAGTAATAACCGTTATGAGCACAAACACACACACACACACACACACACACACACACACACACAAGCAAACGGCTATTAACAATGCAATGTGAAAGCCAGCTTTCCCTCTTCCTCTCTCTCGCTATATGTGTGTCTCTCTCTCTCACTCTCTCTCTCTCTCTCTCTCTTTAGCTAGATATATGAAGCTGTTTGTTGTGCTCGCAGCTCTCAAGAGCAAACTCTGCAGTTGTTCAAATATTGTTTTTCACTTATACACACACATGCAGGCTGACACACACACACACACAGACACGCAGACACACACACTTATACACATATGGTCGTTTGTATAGAAGCGCAGTTGAAAATCCTTTAATCAGAAAATTAAATTAAAATCCATTGAACCTCTGCGCACAGCTATAAAGTTGTTAGGATAAATGACAAGCGGTTGTTGCCATTGATTAAAATTCCTACCTAGGCCACCTCCCCCAGTCCCCAACTCCCGAGCGCTGTTTGAGGTTAAGTTTACCGTTATTATAGTTGAAGACCTGCACAAACACAAACACAGATGTGGCATGTAACGAAAACTTTTTTTATTAAGTTTGAATTTCTTTTCCATATGATTTTTCCTGTGCCTATCTCTTTCACACACGTATCTACCATTTGTGTTCTCATTTGAAATATTCATAACATCATAAAGTTGTATTTGTAGCTTTATTAGATTTCAATTAGATGATGTAAACAAAAATCGTAAATTGTTTTTACTTTTTTGTTTTGTTTTTTTTGACTATATACATATATGTGTATATATATATGCATATACGTATATCTGTAAAATAAATATATATATATATATATATATATATATATATATATACATATATATGGAAACGTGCGATCCCCTTTCCCCTTCAACCCGTTGCAGGCTCTATTGGCGGATACTTATTCGGTGCGCGATACAAAAGTACACGAAAATGGCAAAGTGAGTAAATTCACAGTTACCCACGAATACAATCACACACACGGATACACACGGACACAGACCAATACACACACACACTCTCAGTTCTTCATTCATTTACATATGTGAAAGTTTTTAATTGAATGCGCTCCAATAAAAAATAAATATATATATATATTTCAATTTTCATATACAACGAAGACAATTAATTCAGTAATACATTTTTTTTAAGTGTACGTCTAGCACATAATTGAGTATACCTAAAACGACATACCATAAGAATTATATAATCATATCAAACATATTCGTTTATAATAATAGAACACATTGTATGACATGCGGCATATAACGCATACGTCCCGTAGACCGTCCAAAAACAACAACAAAATACCCTTGATTTTTACGCTCCTTTTTAGCCAAGCAAGTGCCATTAATGAACTAACTAATTCATCTAATTTATTTGAAATTGAACCAACATATTTTTCCATATTTTTGTTTTACTAAAAAAAAAAAAGCGAAATATTAAACACGTTAAACTCCTCACACCGCGTACTTTTCCACAAGTACCATTTCGTTAAGTACTCGTTCGAATTTTACAGGTTAATCTCACTGCTGGAGCGGAAGAACCACCCTCCAAAGTTAGTGTTGAATACCCTAACCCATAGCCTAGCCAAGTAGTTTCAACTTAATACCTATTTATTCTTTACTATTTGTTTTCTCTGATCCATTGAATCGAATCGTTGGCTTTCGATTTGCTTTGGTACTTTTTTTGACTTTGACTTTGACGCTTTAGTGCATGTGCTTACCTCTACCTGATTGGCGCGTAAATAAATTAGAGATCTAAAACACACCTGGCCATCACGCAAAATTTCAATTAATTAACTCACTTAATACTACATGTAGTTAAATAAATATATATACATACATATAGATATGCTTCTATGTAGGTTAGTTTTCGCCTGCCAGACCAACTCTGTGTATGCGCAATTTTTACGCGCCTATACGCCCTGTGCACATGTACATACATACACAATCATCTATATAGTATATCTGTATAGATATATTTTTTGTTAGCTATATATACTCGATACTCACGCACCTTGAATGCCTCTTTCCGTTCTGGCTAATGTTGATAATTGAATTCAACTCAATTTCAAACTAATTTCACATGCATTTTCACTCGCTGCACTCGCCTCAGACAGACTGCGAGACGCGAAACTAAAAGTATTTTTTCTTCCGCTGCTGACAGGTCTCGCTAACAGACTCGGATCCATCGCAATTCCGCGAATTCTTTCACCTGTCCGAGTTCACCAACGAGATTAAACAGCATCAGCCGCTGCGCCTGAAGAAGAAGTTTTACGAGTTCTACACGGCGCCCATTACCAAATTCTGGGCCGATTCGGTGAGTATTTGGGAGCGCTAAGCTTATTTAGTTATTAGCTAACGGAAATTAGTAGCTTGTGTTTAATTTCCGCTACAGCGCGCACATTTGACAGCGCGTACGCTGACTTATGTGAGTGAGTGCAAAAGGTTTTTCCTATTTATTTCATACGCTGTAAAACTTGCACAGATTGGGGTAGATAAAGGCGAGCAAATGAATTTGTAGAGGTGTTAGGACTAGTGAGATTTTAGTGTGTAGTGTTTTGATAAACTGAAAATAGTTGACTCTGATGTAGCGTGCGTCGTCTAGACGTTTGTTAAGGTCAGATTTTCGTGTTAGATACTGGATGAGTTCAAAAAATATGTGAGGGTATTTCAGGTAAGCCAGTCTGACTGCTAGCATAGAGTAGGTTGAGCTTTAGCTTGTACAGAGATTTAACAGAGACTAGAGTAGAGTTAGACTCCATTGAAAGTTCAAGGAATCTATAAATCTTGATTGATAAGTGACCAAAAACAATCTATGTTTCATTTTATATATTATTCTTATCTCAGTTTACACCGCATGCAATTGTAGCATAAGAATCAAAGATCATCTGACATAGAGAGTAGAGTATATATAAATATCATAATGACACTCTTTAGATAGCGCACCCTGCAGTAGCATTTCTATCGGTGGATAGCTTTCATAGCTTACCCACAGATGCAGCACTAAATCGAGTAGTGCCCCAGGGTATACCTTAGTCCGGCATTCAATGCACTTCTCCGTGTTTTTATTTTTTAATGTAATTAATATGTTTCTGGCCATATTTGCAGATTGCGTACATGTTCTTTCTGATAATGTTCTCGTTCACGGTGCTAGTCAAAATGGGTCCCATTCCGCGCTGGCAGGAATGGTATTCGATAGCTTATATAACCACTTTGGGATTTGAGAAGGTGCGCGAAATCGTTTCCTCCGAGCCGGTGGCCATTACGTAAGTAAAGTAATTCGCAAATTGAATTTCTGCCAATGTGTGTATGTGTGTATGTGTGTGTGTGTGTGTGTGTGTGTGTGTGTGTTTAATTGCATTTAATTTAATGATTATAAATGAGAGCTGCGCATACTTTATGCCTCTGTGCATTTTGATTACTTGCCATCGTCTTCAGCTTCTTCTTTCTATCTATATCCGGTGCGTGTGTGTGTGTGCGATTTCCTTCAGAGTTTATTCACACTTGATTTACGGCTTTCGATTTCTGTGGCGCCCTTCATTAATGCGATTCTGTTGCGGCCTGGCTTCATTTGCCTCATTGTTGTTGTTGTTGCAGGCATAAATTCTCGGTGTGGGCGTGGAACATGTGGAATCCGTGCGATGGCGCTGCCATAATACTCTTCCTCATCGGACTGGCTTTTCGCTTTCGCCCCAATACGATGGACATTGGGCGTGTCATTTACTGCGTGGACAGCATCTACTGGTATTTGCGCATATTGAACATTCTTGGCGTCAACAAGTATTTGGGTAGGTAATCAGCTCTATATACATACATATTGTATATTTATGGATTCTATGGTCGTCTCTTTTCTTAAAGGTCCTCTGGTCACTATGATGGGCAAAATGGTCAAGAATATGATATATTTTGTTGTGCTCTTGGCGGTGGTTCTCATGAGCTTTGGCGTCAGCCGACAGGCAATACTCTATCCGAACAATGAGCCCACCTGGCGGCTGATTCGAGAGGTAAGCCATGAGAAATACTAAATCAGGGGTGTATATGGATATGAAAAGATGAGTGTGTGTGTGTGTGTGTGTGCGTGTCTGACTTATTGAATGTTTTTATATCCAGAAATGAAAAGTTATTCAAGTAAATCGATGTAAATATCCTTGAAGAAACATCCAAGATTTTATATAAACTGAAAATCTACAAAAAGTATAAATCTTGTTGTAACTTCAGCAAAATTCATATAGATTTCTGTTCTGCAAGGGTATTAAATATTTCGGTTAACCGAAGAACTCTTTACGTTTACGTTGATTACAAAATTTATACAAAAAATTTTACAGTCGTGTAAATAATAATTCTTTAGCTGAATTATAAAAGCAAATCAAAATTCATGCTAATTAATCGTGTCAGTCTGTGTAACTGACTGTATTTCTGTCTGTGTGTGTGTGTCTTGATCAAATATTAACATTCATGTACGTATATATAGAGAGAATACATTTTTATAAATATGCTCAATGTACACTGACAATTTTTTCAAATTGCAGCGCTTGTGAATTGTGTATTTATTGAGAGAAACGGAGTACATGCATTTACTTAAATCTTAAAAAAAATATATATGAAAAAACAATACAAATATTTATGATAACATTAATAATAACAGTAACAGTAACAGTAATAGTCCAACATTTTATTCAAACTCAATTAATTGTAGCTATTGAAAACAATATTCGTATTTAAGTAGAGCTTCACAGCGAGTTGTTTGGTTGACTGTTTTGACTAAGTAGTTATCATGCGAGAGGGCGATGCTCGCTGCTCGCTGCTCGCTAATCGATACTTCGCTAATCGATATTCGATTGACTAACTGCTCTTTTTCTTTATTGTGTCTTGTATTATTGTATTTCTTCATACTTTCGTCCTCATGCTCCCTTTCAACTGTTCACTATTCACCTCTCACTCTCCACTCTTTCACTTTGTTGCCATTCCATGCTCTGTTCTCTCTCTCTCTCACACACACACACGCATATATCACTTTACGCATTTTGATTTTGTTCTACACACATATATATACGTATGTATATGTATATATGCGCAATGAATTGGCCAGGTTATTGCCGGCTCAATCTTCGCGCCCGGATTTCAAGGCGCTCTCGGCCATAATAGTCGTTCACATAATACACGTATAGCTGGCTTTGGACCTAGTACATTTGCAGCTGCACATCATCGCAGTCATGCAGCAGCAGCAGCAGCGGCAGCGGCAGCGGCGGCGGCAGCAGCAGCCAGCACAACAACAACAACAACAACAAGCACAACTACGATGCCGCCCTCTGTGACGCCCCCAACAGCTGAAACTGAAACTGAAACTGAAACAAGCGAAACAAGTCACGAGCTGCCAAGTTTCTTAAACGGAAATCACACAAATGTATCTACAATTGGTTTGCTATATAGTGAAAAACAAAAACAAAAACAAAATAACTAAAACAGTGTTTAGCAAATGAGCCTAGCTGGCCTCCCTGTGTGATATATATTAATATATGATATATATTGGCAAGCTGTCTATCTAGTTGTTGTTGTGTGCCTCAAAAAAGAAAACATAAAGATTTTCGTTTGTTTTTTATTGTGCAAAAGATAATTTTTGTCTAATTGGTTTCTTATCAATTTACTTGCTTATATTTCATTCTATAATATCAAAGAACAATTTATATCGATGTTGTTTCCAATAAACCCCGCAAAATAGATATTCCCAATGATCTCTCTATCTCTCTCTCTCCCTCTCGCTCTGTCTCTCTTTCTCTCTCTCTCCCGCGTTGGTTCGTTGCCCCTCGAGTCTTCTTTTGTTTCCTGCTCGCCGACTACTACGTTGTTCTTCTTTTCTTTTATATCATGTGCTCATTTTAATTATATTACGTATACGTCATGCATGCTAAGCATACAAAACAAGGATATTTAAGTATTTGCATCTGAGAAGTAAATGTGTGTACTCAGTTTCAAGTTTGTTAATCATTTCGTTGTCATTTATTATGAATTCCATTTTTGAAATATTTATTCAAATTTTGGCATGCTTCATTTTTATTGCATGCGCATTGCCTGCGCTGTCTGAAAAATGTCAAACGGCTATTATTCACACAAACAAGGAACAGTCCCCGTCCTCCTCCCTCCTCCCCTCTGCAAGTATTGCAGGATTGTATCTCCTGCAGCAGAGCTGTTGCATTGTTTGTAGCTAAATCTCGGAAAATCCATCCAGTCAAGCAGGCGAGGTAGCAGCATTGCTGTAGTTATACTTTTTTGATACACTGTAAACACTTTTCGCAGCGATTTGCATGCAATATGCAAATGTTTAACAGAGTCAAAGTCTATTATGTTTACATCATATCCGGGCATCTTTTTGACGCCTTTTATAGCATAGCCGTTAGCTAGCAAATGCAGATTTATGAGGGGAAATGCTTGAAGATATTGAAAGGTCATTACAGATACATATAAAGATACACTTACACATATACAGATACAGATACAGTTACGGATACAGATACAGATACAGATACAGATACAGATACAGATACAGATACAGATACA